GAGGGGGTGTGGTTGGTGACCTCCCTGCATTGCCATGGGAGGCCACTGATGTGTAGTTTCCCGCCTCCCCAGTTGTCAGTTATCTGTTCTCCCTTCCCCAGTTTATGTCAATCATTTGGTACCCCTTCCCTTTGTTCTAGAAAGTTCTCAGTTCTTTGTACCCCCATTGGTTCTTCCCCCGAAACCACTCCTTCCCTCTTTCCCAGTTGGCCGTTGCCGTGTCACTCCTGCTTGACTCCACCCTCATACCCTCACCCAGTTGGATGCTCTGTACCCTGACCCTCCTTCCCTGCAACTGTTATAAACCCTGCCCCGCCCCTGGTTCGGGGCTCTCAGAGCTGGCTCGCCCTCTGAGTGGCTGTGTCCCTTCAGCACCCTCGCCTTCCCTCAACGAAGCCCTCAGAATAAAGCCTCCTGAGAGACTCTCGCCCGGTGGAAGTCCTTTCTCTTTACTACCATCGAAGCGTTCCTGAGGTCCCGGACCTGCAGCTATCCGGAGCGGTCTGGGAGACCTGGAGCACTTCAATTTGTCTCCAGTTTATGACCCTCTACCAGTCCTTGCTGGATGTGTGGATCATCCCACAGCCCCGAAAGAATGTGTGCATAACTCCAGCCCATGCCCTCCAGCAAGACCTTCTGTGCCTTTCAACATCTGCAGCAGAAAATCCGATGTCTACTTGCCTGGTGGGGATTCCAGGAAAAATAAGTGAGTACCCCAGCACCCTGGTCAGGATCTGGCATGAGTTTAATAAAAAGAACCTGCCAAACACCTGGGCAGAAATTTCTAGATATTGGAGGGTTTCTGAATATGCAAAAACAGCTATTACCAACCCTCTAGGGCTGTGGTGGAAATGGGTATATGACCTGCCCACTGCCGATGCAGAGCCCCAGGAATTTGAGCTACAGGGCTCCACAAAGACTGAATACTGTGTTCAGTTTGACTTTACGCCACATGCCCACCCGAATCTCTACAACCATATGAAACAACATAAGGTAGAAATTAGAGCTGACCAGTGGTGCACTTGTATCACCAAAGTGGGTGCTCCCTCAGCTGCTGATTCCTACGCCTGCAAGTTAGACAAAGGGAAGTTTTTAATCTGTGGAAATCAGGCATATCCAGGAATCCCCTCTCGCCTCCTAGGGGCTCCATGCACCCTGGGGCGTCTTTCACTTGCTTTCCCCAACATGACCCAGATTCCGATCTGGCAGGGCGAAACAGAAAATTGTTAAAAGGGGTGCAGAACAATTAGACAAACATTGTAGCAAAATTTATCATTGGGCCAAATCCAAAAGAGTTGCCATCTCCGTTTTTCTACCCTGGGGGGCGGCAGCAAAGTCTTTAAGTGAATTGGGACATCTAGAATGCTGGGTTACAAAGCAAGCCAATTTAACATCGATTGCCCTAAGTAACCTCCGAGAAGACAAGGAAGTTACCAGGAAAGTGACCTTACAAAATTGGGCTGCCATCAATTTTCTGCTGCTGGTACACAGGCATGGGTGTCAGGAGTTCAAGGGGCTGTGCTGCTTCAACTTGTCATCAAGAAGCCAAAGTGTCCACATGTCCATCCGAGAAATGAAAGACCTTATCGGCAGCGTAAAACAAGAGAACGACGACTGGTTCAGAGACATGTTTAAGAACTGGAACCTCTCTGGGTGGATGATATCTACTATGAAAGACGTTGGTTTTCTCTCCCAGATGCTGGATCTCGCCATCGGGACGCCCCAGAAGGGGATCATTCACTTTGCAGCCATGCGAAAACTGCTGCAGGCCGTGCTGGAGCACCTGGACGTGCAGTACCTGACCAGCCAGGAGCCGTGGCCGGGCCAGCTGAGTGGCCCCTCACTTGCTGATGTGGCCACTGACATGGCAATGATGAAGAAAGAGATGGAAGACTACAAGAAACACATGTCCAAGGTAGAGGCTCTTCCCAGCCCCCGGGGCACTCCCCCAGCAGACAGCCCCTCCCCGCTTCCTCAGACAGCACTGCTTGGCACTGCCCTCACTGCCCTGGCGCAGCCCCTGGCAGGGGCTCTTTGCCACCTGGATGGGCTTCAGTGCTCTGGCACCGAGCTGGGCTGGAGCAGGTGGCACTGGGACTCTCCCTGCCCACCAGGATTGCCACAGGCTGCCCGTGGCAGGGTGGGGCTCTTTGGGGTGTTGCTGTCCTGGCCATCACCTCTGACATCCCTGTTGGTTGGACTGTTTCACAGGTTCTTCGTGAGGAGCTTGGTGGGATAAAGGCAGAACTTTCCCACCTCTCCGAGGACATGAAGAAGTTCCAGGAGAGACAGGTCTGTGCAGACCACTGTGGTAGTGAAGGTTGTTTTCCTCACAGACACTCCACAACTTGCATCTCTCACCATTTTCTCTGACAGTCCTACATGGCACAGGAATTAAAGAAGATCCAGGAGATGCAGGACAAGGTGAAGTGCTGCTGGGGGCAAGTTTTGGGTCTGAGACAGCAGCCTGGACCCTCGGCCCTGCTGGCTGGAGGCTCAGTACCCTTGGCCCTGCCAGATGCATGGACTGTGCTGCCTGCAGAGCCCTGCCAGCCGGGCTGAGCCCGGCCCTGTGCTGTCCCCAGGGCTCCACAAAGAACAGCAGGGGTCAGGGCCTTGCAGGTGCCCACTGACCCTCCCACAGGCTCACTGCCACCACTCCTCTCTCCTAGGACATGGCTCTCATCCGGGATCTCCAGGAGGAGATGGAAAGGATAAAGACAATACAGATCCTCATGGAGGGAGACATAAAGAAGATTAAGGAATCGCTTGCCTTAGTGAGCTGTTGGGTTGTGTAATCTTTAGGCTCTCATGGGGAACATCAATGTGATTCCAAGAGCAGGCTTTGGGATCAGGGTCTCAGGACCAGGTGGAGGAACCTGGGTCTGCCCATGTAGCTGAAGGGCCCCCATGCTGGGACCAGAGGATGTCCGTGCCCTGACTCTTACCGTCACTGGCTTTCCAGATGAAGAAGCTGGAGGAGGACCTTAAAAAGCTGAGGGAGGATGCAACCAAGTGGAAAGAAGAGAGCAGCAATGAGATCTCTCAGCAAATTGAGTAAGAGGACAGGAGTGGGTTTCATACCCTGTGGGGCTGCAAGGGAGCCCAGGGGGTCTGGCAGCATCCTGGTTTGCAGGCACAGCACAGTGCCCTGCAGCCCTGCAGGGGAAACCCTGACTTGTCCCCATCCTGCTGGCCAGGGCTCTGTGTCAGGACACAAAACGTGAGCTGCAGAAGATGGGAGAGCAGCAGGAGATGAGGTATTCCACACTGGAGCAGCTGGTGACTGAGACAGCCAACCAAGTGAACGAGCAGGTGAGGTCCTGGGGGAGCACTCCCAGCACCCCTGGCTTGGTGCCCGAGTCCTGCAGGGGTTCCTGGCCATATTCTCTGACTGGCTGGGGCAACCTGGCACTGTTGATTCCATTCATCCCACCACTGAGCCAATTTCTTCTGCCTGTCCAGCAGTTTGGCATTACAGGAGAGACAACATCTGGCCTAGGGGAGGAGCTGGAAGAGAGGAATGGAGACTGCTCCAGCTGCACTTTCAACATCAGAGCATATTTGGGGAAGCTCCTCCTGCGCTACGAGAAACTCCAGGAGAAGGTGGAATCCCTGGAGTCCCGGCAGATGCCCAGGGGAAAGCTCAAGAAAATGATGAAGAATTGGGGACAGGTAGGCTGTGGGCAGTATGGGGGACTGAGGACATCCCCCAGCTGGATGTGCTGTAGTCTGGGGGAGGCCCAAACTGCCCAAATTGGCCTGGACCGGTCAGCCACATGGACGCAGATTAAAGCCTTGATTCAAACGTCCTGTTGATTCTGAGAGCTCACGGCCACAGGCCGAGAAATGCTGGTCTGCCCCTGTGGAGCAGCCGGACTCCCTTTTGTTCAGTGCCATGTTTTTCCTTCCCTGAAGCTGGAGCATGACCATGAGCGTCTGCACTACATGGAGGAAACACTTGTACGGATGAAAGAAGACTGTGAGAAGCTCAGCTTTGTTTCTGGGAGCCTGCAGAAAGACGCTGAACAAAAGCAGAAAGCGATCAAGGTGTGTGGCTGAACCTCCTGTGGTGCCAGAGCATTCCCAAGGCCCTTGTTGTGATTCCATGCAGGGAACACAAGAATGTCTCTGGCTGAGACTTTCAGCACTGTGCTGGTTGCAAGTGCCTTTCCTCAAGGCTTTTGGGCAAGGGGAGGGGGTTGTGTTCTCCTGGCCAGGAGGCAGCTCCAGCCTTGCTGTGGTGTCATGGGTTCCTTTCTGTACTGAAAGATGCTGTTCCAGTCTCTGGAGAAGGTGCAGAAAGAGAAAGCAGATGAGCAGGACGTGATGGCAGCAGTGGAAGTGGTACAGTCTCAATGGGCCTCTCTGCTAGCCCAAGGGTTTCCAGGCAGGGTGCCAAATGCCCCTTGTCCCTTGGGGGCTGGGTTGCCATACTGGCCTGGGGAGGGAGCATTTCCCGAGCATGTCCCGAGGGTTCCCTCACCCTCCCGATGGTGGGACCAAACCCACCAGGGTGATGGGGCACATGGGGCCACAGCACCCTGAAAGGGGCATGATGGCCTGGAGGAAGCACTTCTCCCTCCGCCCCTCACACGCGCTGGCCCTGCCTGTGGTTCCTCATCCCTTTCCCCACCGCTCTCCTGCCATTCCCCTCTGCTAGAAGGCGGACAAAGCTGCCTTGGGAAGCAAAGTCAATTGCAGCCAATTTGAAGCACATATGGAGCGTCTGGATAAGAGGATGCAGGAATTGCAGAGCCAGATTTCAGGCCAGGAGGAGCACTGGAACAATATGCAGCAGCAGCTCAGCTGTGTGGTGGAAGAAAAGGTGAGGAGTACCTTGTCCCCAAAATAACAAACTGGCACCTTTGGGACTCGACAGCCTGAGGCAGCATCCCTCTGAGGATCCCCCTCCAGGCTCTTTCCTGGAGAGATCCATGTCACATCCCGGGGCAGCTGGCTGAGGCTTTGCACCTACTCACAGCTGGATCACCTGGAGCTGAAGGCTTTCAGCTCCCAGATGGAGGAGACATGGAACAGGAACATTGAGGAACTTGAGAACAGGCTGTTGCGTGAAAACGCTGCTGGGATTAAGAAGTGAGTGTGATGCAGATTCTGAAGGCTTTGGGGACAGTAACGGTCCCATTCCCTCCAGCTGTCCCACACGCTCCCCATGTGCTCCCCTGCCTTGGGATCAATGCATCTGCTCAATGAACCATGGGGATGCTGATGAAGTAGCTGCACCTTCTCCTTCCACCAGCAGCAGGTTCCATGCAGGAAAGGAGGCACGAGGACAGGGCACCTGCAGGACAGTGCCCTCCAAAAGCAAAATGGGGCTGTGGGTGCACAGGCTCCCAGAAGCCAGGGTGGGAGATGGCAACTGCTCCTCCCAGGCAGGGCTGTGGGACGCAGGTCCCAGAGCTGGGTCATGCCCTGCCCTCCTGGCCGTGCACACAGGGGACTTTGGTGCCAGAGTGTGGCTGAAAATGCTGCAGGGGCTGCTTGGGATGGTGACATGGGTGCCTGTGCCCTTCAGCTGGCAGCAGCCAGCACGCTGGGGATGGGGAGAAACAGGCTCAAGAGCCCACGGTTCAGCCTGCAAACGCTGTGACCCTGTGCAGTGACCTGCCCGGCACCCGGCTGCTGCCAGCCGCTGCTGCCTGTGTGCGGGCAGGGCTGTGGCCCCAGGAGCTCCCCCAGCCCTCTTCTCTCACGCTCCTTAGGCAGCTGCCAGTCCCTTTCACGTGCCTGTCCTGTGACCGCATGCTCACCGTGCAGGTCCCTGGCCAGTGAGTAGCACCAGTGCATCGGGGGCAGCGGGGCTGGGATGGGGGGAGATGGGTGCCAGCAGTGACCGCTGTGCTGGGCACAGGGTGACAGGGTCTGCTTGGGAGGCCCTGATGTGGGGAGCCCCCTCTGCAGCCCTGCCGGCAGCAGGGGTGTGGGCACTCATCCCAAGGCCTACAGGCAGCGGGGTAGCAAGGGGTACAATCCTCCTGGTTTGGGGGTGCTGCCTCCAACAGGAACAGGTTGTTTGTCCCCTGTCACACAGCTGTGACTCCTGCCCTCCCCAGGTACCCCGAGACACTCCCGTATTTGCCGCCACTGCCCCCCAGCAAGGAGCCACCGCACAGCCAAAGGTAAGGGCCCGGAGGACACATGCCCAGCTCCCGGGGTGCAGGCTAATCCTGACACAGCAAGGAGGGCTCTTGCCTGGCCTGGGACAGAGGAGCTGGGGGGGGTGGGAAGGGCCGGGGAGCAGAAGGCAGCTGTCTAGGGCCAATGCTTGCCCCAGGTCTGGGGAGTTCTGCAGTCCCCCTGTTGCACTGCCATGTCTGGCCCACCTCTCTGTCCTAAGGTTGCTGAACGCACATCTGATGAGCTGTGTCTGCCTTCAATTTGAGCTCAGGCTTGGTGGGCAGTTGTGTGTCTCCTGTGAAAGTAGTTCCCAAAACCCAGCCCTGCCAAGAGCAGTAGAGTGGCACAGTAGGGTGAAGCCCAGGATGCCACAGGGCTGGGCAATGAGTGTCTTCTGCCCTGTCCCACAGGAGGCCGGTGGCCCATGGCAGGTTCCCCCGTGTGCCACAGAGCTCTGGGGACCATCAGAGCAGCAGCTCCATGGTGCAGAACATCAGGGCTTCCCTACAGAGAAGCAGTCAGCAACAGGCCTTCTTGACAGTCCAGAAAAAGGTAGGAATGATGAAAGTGTGGACACAGAATGATGACTGAGGCTTGATGGCATTGCTGACTATCCAGAGGGAATCTGTGCCTTCAGTCCCCAGGGAGACCTGGATTGGGAGGATTATTAGGGGATGCTGGATTGGTTGGGCCCAGCATTTCAGCTTGTTGCCCTCTCCTCCTCAGCCCAATGTGACCCAGCTGCTGGACAGTGATGGACACATCTCAAGGGGCCGTAATGACCAGCATCCTACAGCGATCAGGACACAGGATGCATCAGGTATGGCCCTGTTAGGGCATGGGGGTCAACAAGAACAGGGGGCTGATTATCTGTGGGGCACCAGCTGGGGGATGAGCTCTGTGTGCAGAGCTGGGCAGGTTGGGATGGGGCTTGGGGCTCTGACCTGCTTTGGAAGGGGCAGAAGCAGAATGGAGGAGAAGGACTGGCTCATGGGGCAGCTGAGCTTGGCTCTCTGAGGGTCTCTCACTAGGCAGGTGACACTTGTGCTGGCCAGCCCTGGGCCGGCAGAGTCTCTCCAGCCAGGGGCAGTCCCTGGCAATGAGGGACTCACCCTTGGCCTTCAACCCCCAGGCCCTGCCGCCTCACGAGGGCCCCGGCCAAGCACAGCCCCCCGACACATCTCAAGTGCACCAGGGCTCGTCCAGCCTCTCCAGCCCCTCCGGACATCCACAGCCCCCAGCCAGCTGGAAAGGACTCAGCGCCCAGTGCTCGATCTGGGACATCTCGTCAGAAGCGAGAAACGCCTGTGACACTGCTGTGTGGAAACATGATGTTTTAGTTGTATTTAGTTGTAGTATTTAGTTGTATTTAGTTGTATTGTAAGTTAATAAAACCCCTTAAACTGTGGGCAGAGCCTTGTCTCAGCAGCCTGTCTCTTCCCCGGGCTCCCTGATGCTCCTTAAGCTCCTGGCCCCCGCTGTGGCCGGGCCCCCAGGCCGAGCAGACGGAGCCCTGGGCCAGGCCCTGAGGCTGCTGCTGGTCCCGCGGCGCCCGCGGGGCAGCTCTGACAGCCGGGCCCGCTGGGGCAGCTGGAGCAGCGCTGCACAGCCCGCGGCCCTGCCGGGCTGGGCGGCCTCGGGCAGATCCCCGTGGGGCCCGGCTGGCACTGCCCGCGCTGCTGCTCTCGCCTGCCGCCTGAAATCCTCACAGGCAGCCCTGGCGCCGACTCAGGAGCCGCTTGCAGCCGTGCCCCACGGCCGGCCCCGAGCCCCGGCGCCCAAGTGCCCTCGTCCCTTCATCTCTGCACGGGGAGGCTGCAAGCTCAGTTGTCAGCTTCCTCCTCCTCTTCCTCGCTGAGGGCCGGCCTGAGCGGCTGGCCCAGCACTGCCTGGCAGCCCCTTGCCCACAGCTCCTGTCAGGAGCCAGAGCTGCTTCCAGCCAGGCACCCCCGGCTGTCCCGCAGCCTGGGGCCGATCGTGCATGGCTCAAATGGAATTAGCGTTCATTAGCCAGGGATATACACGGTCGACATTAGGCGGCCAGAGAGCCCCATAACTGCCTTGGGCCACCTTTCCTTGTTATTGATGTGAAAATGCATATTTCAGAACTAACGAGAGTTAGGCATTACTTTGTGCCGGTTAGGGCGTGTGGAGCAGATAGTTGCAGCCACACACACGCACAAAACTTTTCACTTAGTTATCTGCTTCCAGCAAACAAAGAAATCAATGGTCGTCCATTCTCAATCACATAATTCTCTTCATTAGTTATTATTCTAAACTCTATTGGTTAGAACTTTCTTGCTTCTCATTCTAATTAGCACACATTTCTCTGACTCTTTATTATCTTTTTCCAAGGCAGTGAGTTATCCCGCATATATAAAATTGCCTTTATTAATCTCTTCATTGTCTAATGGTCTCTGCAACAACTCCTTGGAGGGCTATAAACCCTGCATTTCACATGTCCACTGTGCAGCTTTGTTCACTGAAGCTCCTAAGTGTTAGTTTAGCAAAACTAAAAGGTTCCCTGATTTTCTCAATCAAACCCTAAGAATAACACACTGTGGAAAGAAGTTTAGCTACCAGCTGGCCGAGAGGTGGACTTACACTTCTAAAGATTAATTTTAAAAACTAATTAAAAGTTATAAAATTGCAAGCTCGATAACCTACTGTAGAGCTTTGAAGCAGGAAGGACTAGGGGTGAACAGAGCACGTTTTGGAAAAGGGGCAGATGGAGTAGATGGCAGGTGTTGGAAGGAAGAACTTGGTTTGTCTTCCCCCACAGTCTTGGGGGCATTGGCAAGAGAAATAATTTCATTGTCTTCTTTATGGACTGTCATGCTGACATAAAACCTGACTTGGAGGGAATTGTACAAAGGCTTCACCCAGGCAGACTCTTTGCCCTGAACTCCAGAGGAGAAAGGAGTCTATGCCCCAACAACCCTATAGCTCAGCGAGGGGATCACGGGGTTCCTCCTGCACCTCCAGCATGAGGAACAGCACCCCACTGCTTCCCCTGCAAAGGCTGATCCCAGTGGATGCTCCCAACCAGGCCATGGGTTTGCAGCAGTGCAGGAACTGGCTTAGATGAAAAGCAACTCTTAAACTGACCAAAAGAAAAGCAATGAGGCTGTTCTCTCCTGGGAGACCTTTGATCCCATTTCAGCAGATAAAAGGACTACAAAACGACTGGAGGGGGACTTGGCACAAGGGCCTTGCATGGGAATGGCTTCACACTGAGAGAGGGGAGAGATAGGTGGGATATCGGGAAGCAACTCTTCTCTGTCAGCATGGTGATGCCTTAACAGAGTCTGCCCTGTTCCTGGAAGTGTCCAAGACCAGGTTAGATGGAGCTGGCAGCAACCTGGTCTAGCGGAAAAAGTCCCTTTATCTGTCCCTGACAGGGGATGAAATGAGAGGATCTTTGAGGTCCCTTCCAGACAAAGCCATTCCGTGACTCTATGACTTCATGAGTCTGTGACCCAGTGGTGAGGTATGCAGCCTGGCAACAGGAATTGTGATGAAAAGGGGTTTGAGCAGGCTCCAGTCCTCTGAAGGACACGGAAGGAGGAAGAAGCCTGTTGGCTACTTATCCTTTTTATTATTGCTTTTGCTGACCCCTGACAGACCCAGCTGGGCAGGAAGGCTTGTGACCAAGCAGGGACTGACTGTGTGCAGACATGGCAGCATCGCTGGACACACTCAGCCTCTCCCAGATGCTGGATCTCGCCATCGGGACGCCCCAGAAGGGGATCATTCACTTTGCAGCCATGCGAAAACTGCTGCAGGCCGTGCTGGAGCACCTGGACGTGCAGTACCTGACCAGCCAGGAGCCGTGGCCGGGCCAGCTGAGTGGCCCCTCACTTGCTGATGTGGCCACTGACATGGCAATGATGAAGAAAGAGATGGAAGACTACAAGAAGCACATGTCCAAGGTAGAGGCTCTTCCCAGCCCCCGGGGCACTCCCCCAGCAGACAGCCCCTCCCCGCTTCCTCAGACAGCACTGCTTGGCACTGCCCTCACTGCCCCGGTGCAGCCCCTGGCAGGGGCTCTTTGCCACCTGGATGGGCTTCAGTGCTCTGGCACCGAGCCGGGCTGGGGCAGGTGGCACTGGGACTCTCCCTGCCCACCTGGATTGCCACGGGCTGCCCACGGCAGGGTGGGGCTCTTTGGGGTGTTGCTGTCCTGGCCATCACCCCTGACATCCCTGTTGGTTGGACTGTTCCATAGGTTCTTCGTGAGGAGTTTGGTGGGATAAAGGCAGAACTTTCCCACCTCTCCGAGGACATGAAGAAGTTCCAGGAGACACAGGTCTGTGCAGACCACTGTGGCTCTCAAGGTCATATTTCCCACACTCACTCTCCAGAGACTTGTCTCTGACAATGCTTTCTCCTAGACCATGGCTATGTCCCAGCATCAAGAAGAAATTGAAAAGTTAAAGGCTGCCCAGCGTCATACGGCAGGGGAAATGAAGAAGATCCAGATATCACGGGACGAGGTGAAGTGCTGCTTGGAGCAAGTTTTGAGTCTGAGACAGCAGCCTGGACCCTCGGCCCTGCTGGCTGGAGGCTCAGTACCCTTGGCCCTGCCAGATGCATGGACCGTGCTGCCTGCAGAGCCCTGCCAGCCTGGCTGAGCCCGGCCCTGCGTTGTCCCCAGGGCTCCACAAAGCACGGCAGGGTCAGGGCCTTGCAGGTGTCCACTGACCCTCCCACAGGCTCACTGCCACCACTCCTCTCTCCTAGGACATGGCTCTCATGCGGGCTCTCCGGGAGGAGATGGAAAGGATAAAGACAACACAGATCCTCATGGAGGGAGACATAAAGAAGATTAAGGAATCGCTTGCCTTAGTGAGCTGTTGGGTTGTGTAATCTTTAGGCTCTCATGGGGAACATCAATGTGATTCCAAGAGCAGGGTTTGGGAACAGGGTCTCAGGACCAGGTGGAAGAACCTGGGTCTGCCCATGTAGCTGAAGGGCCCCCATGCTGGGACCAGAGGATGTCCGTGCCCTGACTCTTACCATCACTGGCTTTCCAGATGAAGAAGCTGGAGGAGGACCTTAAAAAGCTGAGGGAGGATGCAGCCAAGTGGAAAGAAGAGAGCAAGAAGGAGATCTCTCAGCAAATTGAGTAAGAGGACAGGAGTGGGTTTCATACCCTGTGGTACTGCAAGGGAGCCCAGGGGGTCTGGCAGCATCCTGGTTTGCAGGCACAGCACAGTGCCCTGCAGCCCTGCAGGGGTAACCCTGACCTTGTCCCCATCCCGCTGGCCAGGTCTTTGCGTCAGGACACAAAACGTGAGCTGCAGAAGATGGGAGAGCAGCAGGAGAGGAGGAATGCCATGCTGGAGGAGATGGTGACTCAGACAGCCGACCAGCTGAACGAGCAGGTGAGGTCCTGGGGCAGCACTCCCACCACCCCTTGCTTGGTCATGTTGGAGGTCCATGCCACATCCTCATGCTCTGTGGTGCTTTGCTGTAATGTGGGGGAGGCCCAAACTGCCCAAATTGGCCTGGACCAGTCAGCAGCATGGACGCAGATTAAAGCCTTGATGCAAACGTCCTGTTGACACTGAGAGCTCATGGCCACTGGCTGAGTCATTCATGTGGGTCTGCCCTGTGGAGCAGCCAGACCCCCTTTGGTCATCACCTAATGTTCTTCCTTCCCTGGAGCAGGATCAGGAGCTGCGCCAGCACATGGAAGCCAAGTTTCTGCAGATTCAAAAAGACTACGAGAAACTCAGCTTTACCTCAGGGATACTCCAGAAGGACTCTCAACAAAAGCAGAAAGAAATCACGGTGTGTGGCTGAAACCCTTTTTAGGTCAAAGCATCCCCCAAGATGTGTCCGGGCAGGGATCACAGAGCATCTCTTGACGATCTCCTCCCAGCACTGTGCTTGTTCCAAGCGCCTTTCGCCAAGGTTTTTTGTGTAGGGGGAGAGGGCGATGCTCCCATATCCTGGGGTGTGCCCCAACCTTGCTGTGATGTCATGGGTTCCTTTTTGTGCTGAAAGATGCTGTTCCAGTCTCTGGAGAAGCTTCAGAAGGAGAAGGCAAATGAGCAGGACGTGATGGCAGCAATGGACATGGTACAGTCTCAATGGGCCTCCCTGCCAGCCCAAGGGTTTCCAGGCAGGGTGCCAAATGCCCCTTGTCCCTTGGGGGCTGGGTGGCAGCACTGGCCTGGGGAGGGAGAATTTCCCGAGCATGTTGGTGTTCCCTCATCTTCCAAATGGTGGGAACAAACCCACCAGGGTGATGGGGCAAATGGGGCCACAGCACCCTGAAAGGGGCATGATGGCCTGGAGGAAGCACTTCTCCCTCTGCCCCTCACACGCGCTGGCCCTGCCTGTTGTTCCTCATCCCTTTCCCCACCGCTCTCCTGCCGTTCCTCTCTG